CATTAAAATTGGCTTCTTGCAAGCTTACAAGATTCCCAGATTTCTTGAATGAACAGTTCCCGATAAGCTATCTAGATCTCTCAGCCAACCAGATTAATGGGGAAATACCCAATTGGATTTGGGATATGAAATCTCTTGGTTATTTAAACCTGTCCCACAACTTTCTGGTGAAGTTGCAAGAGCCTTCGAGCAGTCTTCGCTCTGCTGAGTTTCTATCTGTCTTAGACCTTCACAAAAACAGGCTACAAGGGCAACTACCAGGCTTCCCACCATTTGCCACATACATAGATTACTCAAGCAACAATTTCAGCTCTGTTATTCCAGTCAACATTGATGATTACCTTGAGTTCATTTACTTCCTCTCTCTTTCCAGCAACCACTTCCATGGAAGTATTCCTGAATCAATCTGCAATGCTACATATCTTAGGGTCCTTGATTTGTCGAATAATTCTCTGAATGGCACTATTCCAGAATGCTTGACTAGCATGGAGTCCCTTGGGGTGCTGAACCTTAGGAGAAATATCCTCAGTGGCAACATCCCTGATGCATTTTCAAGGAACTGTTGGGCACAAACAATAGACCTCAATGGAAATCACCTAGAAGGAAAGATTCCAAAATCTCTGGCCAACTGCACAGCACTGGAGGTTTTAGACCTCGGGAACAACCAGATCAGTGATAATTTCCCATGCCATTTGAAGAAAGTATCCAGTTTGCGAGTCCTGGTTTTGAGATCCAACAACTTTAGTGGGCATATTGGTTGTCCAAATGACAATTCCTCCTGGCAGATGCTTCAAATTGTCGATCTTGCTTCTAATAATTTTAGTGGTGAACTACCAAATCAATGCTTAAAATCCTGGAAAGCAATGATGGTTGATGAAGATGAGCTCCAACACCTTCGTTTTGAGGTCCTGTCTCTCAATTCATTCTATTATCAAGATGCAATAACAGTTACCATGAAAGGTCTAGAGATTCGACTGGTGAAAATCCTCACCATCTTCACTTCCATTGATCTTTCATGCAACAACCTTCAAGGGACAGTTCCAGAAGTTATGGGAGAACTCAGAGCACTCTATATCCTTAACCTGTCACATAATGCCCTAACGGGACCAATCCCAACATCTTTCGGAAACCTGAGCCAGCTTGAGTCCTTGGACCTCTCATGCAACAACCTGAATGGTGAGATTCCTCAGCAGCTGTCACAACTGAATTTCCTTTCGGTCCTCAACATCTCAAACAATCAACTGGTTGGAAAAATTCCAATATCACAGCAGTTTCAAACATTCTCAAATGATTCCTTTGAAGGCAACAAGGGACTTTGCGGGTTTCCTTTGACAACAAAGTGTCCAAGCAATGACAATAACACAGAGTCAAGATCTCAGCTGGTGTCAAACCGGAAAAATGAACTCGATTGGCAGTTCGTATTAACTGGACTGAGTTTTGGTATGGGAGCAGCAGTAGTAGTTGCACCTCTGATATTCTGCAAGAAAGCAAGTAAATGGGTTGATGACAGTGTTGATAAAATCCTTCTGGTGATCCTCCCAATTGTGGGTTTGAGTTACAACAGATACCATGATTCAAACACTGAGACAGAGGAAAATGGTGAAGACAATACAGAGACATCGGAGAATGATGATGAAGAAGCTGAAGAGAAAGCCGAGGAATTCCTGGGAAGATACTGCGTATTCTGTTCCAAAATCGACATCGTGAAGAAAAAGGTAGTTCATGACCCTAACTGTACCTGCCATGATTCCCCACCAACATCTTTTTCTTCATCTACTTCATCTTCATTTTCTTCCTAGGTCCTTGTTCTCCCTTTTTTTTGTCTTGCTTTTGTTCTTCTTTCTTTGTACATAAATGCAGAAAGATTCAACCTTGGCTTGGAGAGGGGTTTATGAGAACACAAGATAACATGTAATTTTGTATCTTTGGCAATTCATGAATAGCAATCAAAATTACTCAATTTGTCGGTTATTGACCCCCAGAAGTTCTCGTTCAGGCATTTCGTCGAACAAGTGGAGCCCCCAAAAACCCAGTAGAAAATTCAGCCAAATACACAACGTTTGGAAATTCCCTATTTACCCTTTTCTCAATCTTGGAAAAAAGATGCTTCTGAAAACAGAAGATGCAGTATCCGCCATGAATCTTCCGATTGGGGAAGATGTACAAGAAAATGGCATCGGGAGTGGCCGTGGTCTTGAGTACGGGTAGTGCTATTAATTTTCTATAGATGTGAACGACATCGTATTATGCCTTGTGGGCTTTACCATTTTGCGGTCTGAGGTTTTAATTTCTTCTCTTAGCCTTTCTAGGCCCTTTTTTATTTTTTGTAACCAATTGATCGGGCTAGGCTTTTAATTCCTTTACCAAGTTTTCTTAGCCCCACCTCCTAGGTTCCTTTCTATTAGGGGTGAGCATTACGTCAATATACATTTATTATTTATAAGTATTTTATTTATTTGAGTAAATATTATATTTAAATTGTAAAAAAAATCAAATAAATAATAAATATAAAAATAATAAATTTATAAGTTTTAAATTAACTAACAAATATTAAAATTTAGAATTATTTATATAACATATTCTACTAACTTATTTAGTGGACATATCAGTTATATTTGTATATTTAAAATTTTATTTATATTTATTGTACTTTATATTTATATAATAATAATTTAACAAAATAATAATAATATCGTACAAAATTAAACCTTAAATTAAAAAAATCACATACACAATCATAATAATTTAAATAAATAACAAATTTTAAGTCAAATACATGATATACACAATAACAATAATTAATATAAGATCTCTTTTTTTCCTAAATCAAATATATAAATATATATATATCCATAAATTACCTAGTATTTGATGAACTACATATCAAGTATAAGTTTTAAATATTTAAATAAATATCAAATTTAAAAACTTATACTTAAAAACTTTTAAATTAAATATAAAAAATAACTTATACCTGAGCTATATTCAAAAATATTTATCGCTACTTCCTATAGCCAAACGTGGAAAGAAAAAAAAAAAAAAGGAAAAAAAGAAACAAAAGTTGTAT